CACCATATAATTTCGGTTATGTGTGCAATCTACAAAACAAAACAATCAAACAACAGCACTAACAGAAGCGGACTTATAAATACAGAGAACTGGTGGTTGCCAAAGGGGAGGAGTGTGGGGAGATGGGCAAAATAGGTGAGAGAGATTAAGAGGTACAAAATTCCAGCTCTAAAATAAGTCACAAGGATGAGAAGTACAGCACAGAGAATCACTGATAATACTGTAATAGCTTTGTTTAGTGATAGATGGTAAAGTATACTTATGATGAGCATTTTGTAATGTGTGTGTGTGTATAAAGATTTTATTTATTTATTTGAGAGAAAGAGAGACAGAGAGAGAGAAAGCACGAGCAAGGGGAGGGGCAGAGGGAGCCAAGCAGAGTCCCTGCTGAGCAGGGAGCCCTACAGGGGTTCGATTCCAGGACCTTGAGATCATGACCTGAGCCGAAGGCCGACTCTTAACAGACTGAGCCATTCAGGCGCCTCTTTTGTAATGTAATAGTCAAATCATTATGTTGTACACCTGAAACTAATATTAATGTCAACTATACTTCAATTAAAAAAAGGGGGGGGACATCAGAGAACTTGCACTTCCTGTCTTTCCATCATGTGAAGACACAAAAAAGCCATCTGCAAACCAAGAAGAGTCCTCACCAGGAACCAAAGCAGTAAGCTCCTTGATCTGGACTGCCTTCCCAGCTTCCAGAACTGTGAACAATAAATTTCTGTTCTTCAAGCCACTCAGTCTACGGTATTTTGTTACAGCTGACTAAGACAATTCTTATTTATTTCTGAGTGGTATTCCATTATATGGAGGTACTATAATTTGTTTATTCATTCAACTGTTTTTGATGGACTTTGGGTTTTCCCCCCTTTACCATTAAAAATAAAGCTGCTTTAAACATTTGTTCACAGGTCTTTGCATTAACATATGCTTTTATTTCCGTTGGATAAATACCTAGGAATGGGATGGCTGGGTTGTATAAAAGCTGTATGTTTAATTTTAAAGACACTGCCAAATTGCCTTCCAAAGTGCTTGTACAATTTCCATTCCTACCATCAGTGGATGAGAGTTCCAAATGCTCTACATGCTTGACAACACCTGGTATGGTCAGAGTTTTTAATTTTAATGATTTTAAAAGTGCACAGTGGTTAAGTCATTATGGGTTTAAGTTTTCATTTTCCTACTGACTCTTTCCAGCATCTTTTTATGTAATTTTTTGCCATAAGTTCCTTTGGAACTATCTGTTCACATTTTTGGCCTTTTTTTTTTTTTAATTGTTTGTAACTATTGAGTTATAAATGTTCTTTATATATTTTAGCTCCTTGTCCTCTGTTGGATATGTTTTGCAAATAAAGTCCCTCTCTTCTCCTTCTGGGCCTGCCATAATGCATATATTGGTCAGCCTGCTGGTATCCCATAAGTCCCTTAAGAGTGACTCCTCTGACTTGACAATTTCAAATGACCTGTCTTCAAGTTTATAGATTCTTTATTCTACCTGATCAAGTCTGCTACTGAACCCCTCTAATAAATTTTCCAGTTAATTGTTGTATTGTTCAGCTCTAGAATTTCTGGTTGGTTCTCTTTTACAGTTTCTATATGTTGATATTCTCACATTGTCCATGAATTGTTTTCTGATATTGTTGTCTGTGTTCTCTTAAAATTCTGTCAAGTAATTCAGAGGCCTACATTTTTATAGGGCCAGTTTCCAGACAATTTATTTTGTTCTTCTGACTGGGCCAAGTTTCCTTATTCCTTTGTATGCTCTGCAATCTTCTGCAAAATTTGGGCATCTGAAAAAACAGCCAACAGTTCCAGTCATTAAGAACTGGGCCTGTGCAGGTGAAGACCTTCACTAATCTCCCTAGCTTAGAGGTTCTGGCGTCACTCAAATCTCTTCTGAGAATGCATATTCCCAATGCTTGTGTGTGTTAACTACAGCATACAGGATTGCCTTTAAATATCTTAGTTTCCCGGAGAGGCTCTTCCTTGCTTCTGTTTAGAAGCCACAGCCACTTCCTGCCCCACAGGAAGGCACAGGCATCTCCCTGGGTCTCCCCATGTTACCTACTGCATGGTATCCAGAGAGGTTCTTATAAAGCCAATCAAGACCCAATTGATCCTCCTCTGATGATCCTCACTGTCAGAGGCAGCTCTGAAGCCTGCTATGTAGTCCTCCCTGCTTCCTGCTTAAGCCTGTTTCTTGCTGGGGCGCCTAGGTGGCTCAGTCGTTAAGCGTCTGCCTTCGGCTCAGGTCATGATCCCAGGGTCCTGGGATCGAGCCCCACGTCGGGCTCCCTGCTCGGCGGAAAGCCTGCTTCTCCCTCTCCC